CAGACAGAAACAATACTGTACTACATAGATGTTTCCTGTCGGCTCGATTTTTGTGTGGACTTTGCCGTTTCGATGAGCATGAACAACTGTTGGCGCAAGCTAGATTAAAGTGATTATTACGTTTTGAGCATAAAGTACTAAATAAATAAACGTGACTGGACTTTACTGGAGTACTGAACTTCAGAACTCATGCAAACATCCACATCGCTGTAATCAGATGCGTTTTAAAATCTCACAAATTTTTGCTCACTCACTGTATTTTCGATTTTACAGTGGGGTAATTTTGTTGCAGTAGCATGTGATAGCTTGATTTCAAACTTTGAATTTAATAAAAAAAATGACAAGTAAGAAATAAAAATAAATAAAATAAGAACAAATAAAGAAATTACTAATAATAGCACAAATCAAAAATAACGATAGGCCTACAAATGAAATAAATAGCTTTTTAGTTTTTCAGGTAGGTCTCCCGCTGACTGCAATGATAGAGCTTGGAATAGCCAGGACAATTTTTAATATAACTCCGACTGGATTCGTCTGAAAGAAGTCATATACACCTAGGATGCCTCGGGGGTGAGTAAAACAAAGCCTAATTTTTGGGTGAACTAACCCTTTAAATTTAAGTATTTTCTTTTCTTGCTGATCCGAAAAATTATCCGGTCCGTGGGTCAAAAACCGCAATGTGATCCGAACCGTGAGATTTGGGATCCGTTGAACCACTAATATTTTGAAAAAGTATAATAATTTGAAATGTTTACCATTTCAATATATTGTAAAATGTAATTTATTAATGTAATGGCAAAGCCACATTTTCAGCAGCCATTACTCAAAGTAACAATTGCACAAGTAACATTTCTTAAATCAATGTTGAAAACAGTTGTGCTGATTAATATTTTTGTGGAAACTGATAGTTTTTTTTTTTCAGTATTCTCTGATGAAAAGAAAGATCAAAAGAACAGCATTTATATGAACTAGAAAATTGTAACATCATAAATGTAACATTTACTGTCATTTTTTAAAATCAATTTAGATAGTCCTTGCTGAATAAATATAATTTTGTCAAATCTTACAAATCTTGGTTCATAAAATAATTACGTTTACAAAAGGGCTTACACTGTTTTGTATTGAATCGATTACGAGCTATTAGCACAGCTAATCCATTAATACTGGCACTACAGCAGTAAAGCGTGTGGGATTTTGACACAAGATCATGAGAATTTCCTGGGTGTGAAAACTTAATCTGGGCCAAATAAGGAATTCCAAAACTGTTAGGGCAAAAACAAACGTTGAGTTCAGTGTACACTGTCATTCTCAGGAATCATTCAAATGCACTGGTTTAACAGCAGTTCGCTGGTTTGCCCATTTGAATAACTCTCTATATTCAAAGCAAGTATTCAAAGTCGTCATGGTGTACGCATTCAGTCCACCACATGTTAAGAGACAAAAAAAAAAGGATGGCTAGATGCGGTGAATGAGCCATGTGGACGAAAAGCATGCATAAATACATGTGTGTTTATGCATCTAGTGTCTGGGCATCAGAATGAGTGTGTGTGTGTGTGTGTGACTGAACAGGATGGTTTGCCTGCCAGACCAGAGAGCAGCCTGGTCAGCAGAGCCTATTGTCATGACAACATCCTCCACATTACTCAGCAAAGCCATTGAGCTGCTCGGCTCTTGCTCTCTCCCATTGAGCTGAAGGTTTCACTGCATATTAACACTGTCTCAAAAGCACATTTCTGCTACTGGATTACACTTGACATTTGACTGCACACACAAAAAAAATAGCTTTTTGTCTGGACAACTACAATGTCTGCGAGATTTGCATGAATTAATTTGACAGACAGTTTTTTTTCTCCAAAGCTACCTACATTGCATTCAAAGCAATGGATATGAGCATTCCTGTAGCTCAAACAGCAGAGCACTGACAACTCCATTGTCATGGGTTCAATACCCAGGGAATGCATGAATTGATAAAATGTACACCTTGAATGCAATGCAAGTCCATTTGGATAAAAGCATGTTCCAAATGCATTCATGTAAATGAGAGCATATGGATTCATTTCCTGGGACTCAAACCGATTACCTTTTCACTGCTAGTGCTATGTTCTATCAGCACTGTAAAAATGTTTTTTCGAAGTTGTGAATAAAACAAAGATTACTGGAGAACGCAATTTGCTACACCAAAATGCTTTTAGAAAAAAATTTGACTTCAAACAAAAAATGACAATGCTAGATTTGCAGATTCACCATGTCTTCACTATTTCTCTAACTCTACCAGTTATTATTCTAGAAGACACTATTTTACAGAATAACCTTAACATTATGATCTTTGTCATAGTAATAAAATGAAAAAAAAAAAAAAAAGTATTTCGTTGGCTGCATTTACACTATTTGAGCATTTAAGATTACAACTTGAACAATCACTTCTCCAATGACATGTATACCGTAGACATGTATAGTGTTGCACTAATTGGGAAGAGACTAACTTTTAACTAAAGGAAGAGAAGCCAACAATGATCAAACTAAAATCAAATTATGTTTGTTTTTACTGATGTAAAAGTTGCTTCTTGATTAAAGCACAGCAGAGAACTGCTGAAAACTAAACTTCCTGCTCCAAAGCCAGTGCACTAAATCCAGGCTTGTGTAGTATGGAAATTGAGGCATTCTGTGTCCCTGCTTGGAGAGTGGGCTAAGGAGCAGATGAGTCAAGTCTTACGCCTCTGTCAAAAATGCATTTATGCGGCAATATACATCTCAATTCCACTCTCACTCCAGATCATGCATACAGCTACAGGGGAAGATTAAACTCAACAGAAGAGGGGGAAAAAAACCTTCTAAGACCAGCAAAACACGGGCATTTAGACAGCTAATTATCCATTTGCATGCTACTTCACTGAGAGCATTGAACTAAGTACCATCGTGATTGCAGGAAGTGCTAATGTGTTTTAGGTTGTGAACCTAAAACTACTGTTAGCACTAGTTGCTGCAAAGACTTCAAGGTTTTTGCAGTCCCAAAGGACCAAATCATCTGACGTCAGTTTCTACTTTCACCTGAGACCTTGAAAGCCACAAAAACAGGGGCCTCTACGGAAAATAAAATGTTTTTACTAATCTCTAATGCATTAATCCATGAAAGAAACGGGGAAATTACTAACAGAGCTTTTGATACATATTTAATAAGCTAGACAAGGGCAAGAGAAAACATTAAATAATAAATATGCTCATCAATCCATTCAATATACAGACAACAACATATACAAAGGCATCGCTGATCATTTGTTAGCTCACTAACACAACGTTCCACTGAGCTCCAGTTATTTAGCATGCTGGATAAATCTTCGTTGCAATATTTAATTTTTTTACTAAGATCTCATTCATAAATACCTGTAAGTGCTTAGGATATTTCTGACAGGTGTAGCCGCACTTAAAGGTGAAGTTTATCATTTCTGTGCCTCTAGACCGGACGCTGCAATCGCCATTGAGAACAACTGTTCTATACAAACCCATCTCATACTTCCACTTGTTTAAGCCGATATTGCAGTGTCGTTTAGGTTAGGATGCTCAAACAAACAGAGCAATGTTTTGAAAGTGCCTCAGAGTTCACACTTTTCATGGAAATCAACCTACAAATGAAGATGAGACAGAAGAAAGTACTAGAAAACCCACACCTCCCCTTTAATACACTCAAATACAAAGAGTGTGTCAGAGCCCAGGGCATACAGGTCATACAAACTATTACTGGACGAAGCTCGAGGCTGGTTGTATACCTTACAAACATCAACTCCCACCTGATTTAAGTAGTGGTTCAACAGATCACAAATCTCACGGTTCGGATCACATTACGGTTTTTGACCCACGGATCGGATCATTTTTCGGATCAGCAAGAAAAGAAAAATATTTCAATTTAACTTGCTTTCCAAAGTGAAGTACTTCTTTGATACCACAGCAAATACTACTAGATTAACTAAGAACATTTAAACATGATTAAAGCATAAAATAAGGTTGGTAGTATTCAAATACAGAAATTTAATTATTAGGGAAAATAACACTGCATAGTGTTCACTGTATAAATTAAATATAGATTTTTATGACAGCTGTTAGCTGTTTTGTTGTTTGATGATCATTAATGACAGCAGCAGTATTTATAGGCCGCTGTTCCTTTAAGACCTGATGCACGGATCCGATATAATGATACACATCACATCCGATTTCTTTCTTAGCCATTTTCATTCACTTGAGACATAACTGACTGCGTTTACCTGAATAATTGTCGAGATGGGTATTTTGTCATCATTTCATGTGTATGTGTCTGTTCAGAGGATTCAGAAGAGGATTCAGTTCGGTGTTCACGCGCCGTCTGAAACGCGTGTGCGGCTGTGCGCGTAGAGAAGAGCGCGCGAGTAACAAATCGAGTTCCCTTTCGCCTTTTCTCTCTGAAATGGTTTAAAATTCGCTTGCTTGTGTAAATACGAACAAATGATAAACTTATACTCTATTATGGTTACATTTTGCAATTAATCCGCAGATCATATGCGTGCCGAAATCGTGGGGCTTGGTCTGTACGGATCAACTACGATCCGTTTAACCACTAGATTTAAGAAGTTTAGTCTTTTCTGAGATATCCTTTAGAAATATTTCTATTAAATATGAATATGAATTTAATACTCTTAACGCCCCAACCATGTTTGTCTTCAGGGTACACGAGAGGCTGGGTCATGTATACTAGTAGCTCTTTCAATTAAAAATCCCATGAGTTAAAACAAAGCTTGAGCACTCGCCTTTAATTTGCAGTAGAAGTCCCTTGTGTCCACACATGCAAATTGTGTAATACAATAGATTCTAGGAACCAGCCAGCATAAATAGATTCAAAAGATTCACCCAAATAATACGGAAAGAATGTCACAATTTAAAGTAAAGCCGAAAGAGCAGTAAAAAGTAACTAGTTAAATTCAAAAGAGTAGAAAGATTAGTGGTGGGCTTTGCTGCGAAATTGAGAAATGGCCTACTTACTAATTAGAAATCCCTTTTCAATTGTCAAAGCTCTTGTAATCTTGAATGACTGCTTAATTTCCTATGGCAAAGCTGAGTGATCTGATTAAGCTGTAAAATGTGTCATAACAGCAGGGCTGCCTGCCAGCGTGCTATTGTGAAGCAGAGGGAACAGGGCAGAGCTAAACTTGCGGATCGCTGTGGGGCTCCGATCTCAGTTAGCCATGTGCCGTGTAGCGAGAATGGCTAAGCGACAGGACCCTCTATCAGTGTGGCCACTAAATAGAATATCTAGGGGGGAAATTCTCCGACTATTCTTCTATGACTAATGCACAATTCACACAGTATACAAAGCTCAGGCACAGCATGGGCCAAGTTTCAGACAGTCTATTCAGGAAACAAAGCACACATTTTTAGGAGTCATATCGATGCTATCAGTGTGACCCCATTATTTGAGCTGTGAAGTCGAAATATGCATTTCCACTGATGCTATAGTTTCCACTGACACCATGACAAAGTATAGCTCTGGATTGCAGAGAGCACAGTAAGCTTTGGTTTCAATCACTCAATATTTCATCGCCTGCTAATAAAAGTCAGACCTTGTGAGGGCAGGACGGGGCAGGTGACACTACATATAAACATCCAAACATGCCGTACATATCAGACATGTTGAATTACCTAATTATTAAGAATTAAAGATTGATTCTGGTGCTCTGCCAAACATATTCATAATGCCAAGTGTCAGATACAGTTAATGCAGTTTAAGATCTAGGAGCAACATTAATGCTAATGCAATCATCACTAGTATTATTGTTCATACTGAAATATTTTTTGGTATAGGCATGAATGATACCTCAAATGCTATTACTTTTTTTTAAGCGATTGGATTGGACTGTAAAATGGGCCATAAAGGTACATAGATGTACACTGAAAGAGGAACCTGAGCCATATCTACCAGAATTACACAAACTTGGAAAGGTAACCAACCAGAACATCCTAGCAAGCACCCATAATACCCCGTTTTCACATTTTCTTCAATGAGGACACAAAATTAATTGAGGGTCAAGACACTAATACTGGAGAGGGCAGGACCCTTAGGAGCTCTCCATCAGGAATGTGTGCTACATTTTGACTTTCAATACCAAAAACGCATTATTGCTGATCAAGCCTGCATGCTAAATAGATAAGTGGAGTATTCTCATGGAAACACTGGCCAAAAGCACCCAGGAGAAACAATGAAATATTGGTCTGTGGCCCTTGCGTGCTCACGCACGAGAGAATTGCGTCTCAAAGAGCCTGTAGAGTACTGCTATGGACATGGTGCCGTTTTAATCTGGGATCAAACTGAAAATCCCTTCCCCCAAGAGTTCAATCAAGGTCAGGCCAGCGATTAAACCTAATGTCTACAGAGAGGTAATAAACCAATGGAGCTGCAGCTGTGGGCTGCACTCTGACTCTGCACTTTTCTATATCTTACCCTAAAGACTATATAACTGCTCACGCACCCTTCTAATGAAAGAGAGAAAGAAAGTGCGAAACAATAAACGAACAATGGGAGAGCAAAAAAGGGATAAACAGGGCTGCAACAAATAATCAAACAATAAAAGAAATCCTTAATGACAATAATTGACCATTAAATTTGTTCGATGTGCAATGTGGCACAGAGAATCTGTCAATGATGCCACTTTGGAGTTTTAACTGGGAGGAACAAATTCATGAGCCAAGTTGTCCAAGACTGGAAGGATTTTATTAAATGTTTCAAATGTAGTCATAAATATATGGCAGCATGTGGAGTGTCAGGTGCTCCGACAGATTGCACGTGCTGTTTAATGCTTACATGCTGTTATATTGCTGATATATTCTTATTGGTAAATGTTATAATAGGGATGTTCATTTCGGTAATTTTTCCTAAACGACAACCGATGCTCGTTAACTGATTGTTAACCGACAAGATTATTTTAAATTAGAATTGAATTAAATTAGAAAGGATAAGTGTCTGTGACCCGTTAAAAAATACTAGCATTTGTTTTCCGGGGATTAATTTTACATGCGCAAAAAGCAGTTAACAACAGAACATGAGGATTCACATGGTCATATATGACATCACGCACCTGCAGCACTTCTGCCAGCGGAGAAAAACATAATAAAGCTAGGCTATATATATATATATATATAACGAATAAATAGGCCTATACGAGAAACATATTTTGACTTAAATAATAAATTTTAAAAAATTAAAGAAAAACTGTAACAAGTAGCCTAGCCTAGTATGCAGCGTTTCAGTTCATTTTTGTGCTGCGCAAAAGGAAACAGACGACAGAAAGCGGCATCCTATTTTTCTTTAAAATAAGCCTACAAAAGCACAAAGATTTGTTTTTATTGTGAATGTACACAAATAAAAGGTAAACCTTTTACAATTCCGATTATCTTTAGGACTAAAAGGAGTAGTTGCTTCCACTGTGATTCCACAAACTCAAGTGATTGCGCCGGTGCCGCATGCGCACACAGTTAAGCATTGCTACATTGACAATGCAGCCTGTTCATTATCATAATAAAATACAGTCAGTCAAACATATGGGGGAAAAAACTATGTAGTAAAATCTGTGCCGTTGAGCGTTATCACCGCACCGCCGTGATGTTATACAAAACATTTTGTTTTACGTGGACATTGGAACGCGAGTGAAGCCTAGGCTACATAATAAATAATAATTTGCCATTCAAATACAATCGCGAATGCGAAAACATTTGATTTTGTGTGGAATGAGAGACCCAACGTTGGTTTCAGTTTCGTTTTAGCCTAAATTAATTTGGCTTGTCATTTATATTGCTATAGCTTCTTATATTTTTAATTCTTGTTCTTTTCTAAACACTGTTAATTGAAAGGATTTGTTGTGGAGTGAGGGGAACTAAAATAGCCTAGCTATGTTTACAGTGTTTATTATAATGTTTGTAAACATTTCCATGCAGCAAACCTTTTTAAATATTCTGATAAATTACTGAAAAAATAAATAATTAAATGACTTTTTAAACCGTTTAACTGATTGTATTAATCGGTCAAAATTCTTACGGTCGGTTAACCGGTTAAAATGAACATCCCTAGTTATAAATTCTAAGTTAATTGAGTGCATCCTAACAGCAGGTGTTATGTTGTTATACTTAAACTTATATATACACAGAGTGCATATTTGTGATTATATATATATATATATATATATATATACAGTATATATGTACATATATATAAATCTAAACAGTTGTTAGTTGCAGCCCTGGAGACAAATAAAGAGAGAGTACAAAAATATAGACAAAGAGAAAGTGTCTAAAAAAGCTATAATAAAAGCTGTACTATCCCTGCTGTAACCGCAGTCCCACCGACTGTAAGATGGGATAGTAAACACATTTGTGTTTGACATTAAGGGCTTTTATTTCAATTGTCAAACACACCGACAATGCACGCAGGCTATAATTAGCTTATTCTCTATTAATTCTAACCCTTTACTGAGGGAAACAGATCTTTGTCTCAATCAGACATTGTCCAAGATATCAGCACACTGTCCATGTGTTGCCAGAGCAGAAGCAACGGGACAGCAGCAGCAATCCTCCCAACAGACTGCAGATGCACTAAAATGCAGCAAGAAACCATTCAAGTGTAACTGACCTGCTCGCTATTGCTAACAGCTATATGTTTAGAGTGAGATGCAACAATGCTGATTGAAACCATCCAAAGAGTTGTAGCTTCCGCCACTTTACCTCCTGTAACTGCATTTCGATTTCTGCAAAGCAAAGCAAAACAAGTGCAAGATAATGATTATGTACCATCTACGGGCGATGTTTTCAGTCTGATGCAAAGTCCATTAATGTCCCCATAAGATTCCTGGATTTTGTGTAATGCTTCAGCCCCGCGCAGTTCCATGAGAGAGCGCAGCTCATTAAGCGAGCAGCCAAACTCTCCATCGTGATTGGGCTCGGCCACAGAGTTCTTCACCCCGCTGTATGAGTTGTTAGCCATGTCTCCTGGCTACACCGCGTCTCAGCAAGGGTGGAAAAATGGCGTCCCAAAAGGAGCGCTATATCCTCAGGAGACCAATGCCAGTAGTTCCCATAAACAACTGACGTCCTTCAGAGGAGGAGGAGGAGGAGGAGGATGCCCGACTGCAGGTGGCAGGACTGGGATAATTCACAAGCCATTCCCCTCAGCCTGTGGCGTTGCTTTCATTGTGAATGAAACCTTACACAATCAGCCCAAGGAGACCTACAAAAAAAGAAAGGAATGCTTTATTAATAATAATAATAATAATAATAATATTGTTATTATTGCTGAATCTATTTACAAATGCAAAACCCAAATGCACAACAGATATGCATGTTAATTTCAAAACAAAACATCAACAGACACCTTAAGTTTAGAAAAAACTCCATCGGGCCTGGAAATAAGAACAAACTCACTGGCTGAGTTTCAAGGTGACATGCTACCCACTTTTACAGGCAGAACTATGTGGGCTTTTTTAAGAAGTAGCGTGGGAACTGACCTGCCATCTTAACTATGTGAGAGACAAAAAAAGCCTTTTTCAAGTAACACGAAAATGCTTTGAATCTGGAAACTTATGGAATAGAATACAACTGAAAGGAGTATATTAAGTGTTAATATATAGATTTCTCTTCCAAAATGGCATTATTATTAAAGCAATGATTAAACTTGAAGTGACAGTGTAAATGACAGCGTAAATACGCCCAATGAGACCTTGGACTGCTTGGACAAAGTTCATCTATGGTGTTTTATGGTCATATTTTCATGTATACAAACAGAAGAGAAAGTTCCATATCAACACCATGCCTTCAAACCAAATAACAAACTATCAGACTTCCGTTTAACCCCACTGGACTGTCAATGAACAGCTTCTCTGGGATCATTTCAATAGCTAGTAGGGCTGACAGTACTTCCACTGTCCTTGCCTTTACCAGCAAGATTTCATTATAATATAATTATATTAGGGATAGGGCTGTGCGATATGGACAAAAAAAAACCTATCACGATTTCTTTGATCAATTTTGCGATTTCGATTTTAATCACGATTTTGACACACACAGACATGCTTTACAGTCATTAATGCATTCAGTGTGAATTTGAAACATATTTCCAAAAGAAAACCAATTAGAGCTTTATCAAAAAGCTGTAACATGTCTCTAGAACAGACATAAGGCAAAATAATCACTAAGTCAAGGTGTAACAAAATGTCTCTAGAATGGACATATGGCAGAAGAAAAAAAATCCTGTGTCCAGGGATTTTTTTTGCCATGCATTGTTAAATAAGTAGGGATGCACCGAATATTCTGCAACCGAAATTATTCGGCCGAAAATAAGCAAAAAGGCCGAATAATATGTACCGAACAATGACTAACGCGATCAAAAAGAGGCACGCACTAATGCAGCAAACATGCAGGCAGTGTGAAAGTATTTAAAACTATCAGAGAAAGACGCAGAAAGAAATCCAAGCACGAAGCACCGGCAGCGAGAGACTGTTTAGTGCTGCATCACGTCTCCGATGAGAAGAGGTGGCTGATGCTGGTGGCTAGGCTACTGTATGATGATTGAAATCGCGAAATGGCCTCAAATGATTAGTAAATAAACTGCAGAATGTTATATTTTCTAATGCACGCACAAATTGCATGTATTCTAACAGCGCTGCACGAGCTCGCGGCGCCAGGGTTCAAAGTCCAAACCGCGAGGAAAATCTGCGCTGAACTTTACTCGTCAGTTGCTCAGTAACATTTTTGTGAATTTTTTAAAGGAAAAGAAGCACTGAGATCTTCCAGCGGGTTTCTGCCAAAATAAAAGCCAAGAAAAAGCAACAACTCCATCAACATTCATAAATGATAGTATTGTAATTTTACTGTTGTTCTGTAAAATAAAATAAAAAAGACAATAATAATGATAATAATAATGACCCTACAACAGCTCCATTAATACATTTACTATAACATTCACACATAGTGTTCAAATTGGGATCTGTAATATAGCCTATTCTAATGTTAAAAAAAAATTAACTTCTGCTCAGCAAGGCGGCCTTTATTTGTACAGTAAAAAAATACATGCCTGATTCAAGTCTCAAAAATGGCCAAAAATGATTATTTTACTAACTTAATTAATTTTAAGTTAAATTGTGCTTTGTTGAAAAAATGTTCAGTGTTAAGTAAATATTTTTAAATTGTTGTTTTGTAATTGATTTTTTATTTGAAAAGCAACAAAACGGTAAAAAGCACATTTTGGCTTTTTAATTAATGCAATGGTGGAGAAAAAAAAGAAAAAAACAGGCAAAATAGGCCTACATGGGGGAAAAATTTTGAAAAACCGTGTTCGGTATTCGTCCTTCGGCCCAGTGTTTCATTATGTTCGGCTTCGGCCAAGAGTTTTCATTTCGGTGCGTCCCTAAATTATATTATATAATATATAATAATCAAATCATAATAAAGGAATGTCAGCAGTAGGGATGATCTGAACAGGTTTAAGAAGGACAAGAGGTCAAAAACATGAGTTTGTGAAAATTCTAACTGTGAGGATGAGAAGATGGTGTTGTTAAGAACTCTTTCTCTCTAGAAGCAGAAGTAAAAAGTGTAGTAGCCCTCCAGGACTGATTTACTTGCAGCAGCACATGCAGAGCGTGAAACAGCATGCTGCTCCGTAACAGGCTACCAGCTGGGCAATCAACTTCTCCCACAGCCAATGTCATAAACATTGCAGACAAATGAAGAGAAAAATCTTCAGTTAAAACTACTCTCTCAGGTGCAGGAACTCTGGACTTGACCTTTTTAATGAAGCTCCGGCAAAAAGCTTCCTTGCACAACCAAAAATAAATACCATAAAAGACCATAAAAGACCATTAGCAATGGCAAACAAAGTCTCAAGTACGTCAAAGTCAACAAGCTCGGTTTTATCTTTTATTAAAACTGGAAGTGAAAAGGGAAACGCCCAACAGCTTCGCACTGCAACAGCTAAGTGTGCTCTTCCCTTTTGAAGTAACAACTGGTCCTAAAATGTGTCTGTGAAAAACAACGATGGTTTAACAGAACTTCCTGAAATGACTGTCATCTCAAGCAGCCATGGTATGCATTTCATCATGCAGGTTTCAAGCAAGATAACATCTGTCCTGCACATTTTAGCTCTTTTTCTTCCAGTTATCATCTATGAGTGACTGCTCAACCACGATGAGGGAAGTGCCAAATCTTTGCTGTGCCATGACAGTTTCAGGTTGCAGAGCAGGTCACATGTCACAACAGTGGAAAATCATTGTGATTGGATCTTCAAACTAACAGTTACCGCAGTATGGTTGAGCAACAGCAATGTTAACCCTTGCCATTCAAAGCTAGAGGTCAGTTTTGGACCAGCGATTGTGGATTGCACTTACATTCCTTAAGACTCATAATTTAAGGACCATATCACATACTTATATGATCTTTCTGACAAAGAAACCTGCATTTATAGTACTGTGTAATGTCATGCATTTTGCCACCATTCTACCCTCCCTTAAAACTAGGCAGGTTCACATGAGGTCTGAGAGCTCCTCTATGACAGAATGCAATGCATTGGAAAGCAGTAGAAGTGAAGCTGCAAGAAAACCTCAAGGAAAACCCTTTCGGTCTTGGTTGGCAATTGGAGACCCTATACTGTACAAGCCAACTTCATGCTAGTCAAGGACAGTGATTCCAGGGATCCCTCTGCAGTGGAGCTGTCGGTAATGGGGTATTTTTAGCAGCCTCAGACTGCCCACTCCCCATCCCCCTCGCTGGCTGTTGCTGAAATGGGTCAGGCCATTTCTATGTGGAGGGTACAATGCAGAGACGCCCAGCCTTACTCATGCTACATGGCTTAGTGCACTTAAGGCCACTTCACACCACCAACTGGGCACTTCTACTATACCCTCAGACACTGATCCTGCCAACTCACAGCAGCCGGCCAGCCGCTCACTCGACCACACAAAGCACAACTCCTCAAGAAGCAGCTGAATGACACCTCCCAAAAAAAGCCCATTAAAAATAAAACACCTCATATTCCTAATACAATCACAGAATCCAGTCATAAAAATTGAATTTATGGTATGACATGGAATGTAACAGAATTTTTTGATGAATAAATAAAAAGTAGTGCAGTACACTCAATCACATCATATGGACTAGTGTCTTGCCGCATCCGAAATCGCATACTTGTCCACTATATAGTAAGCAAAAATGGAGTAGTATGTACAAATTCATAGTAGTGCTGGGCGGTATGACCAAAAATTTATATCATGGTATTTTTCAAAATTATACCGGTTTCACGGTACAAAAGTGACATATTCCGGTATTGCGGTATTTTCAAAATTCATATCATAACAAAAATAAAAACCGGTATTCGGTATGAACCGGTATACCGCCCAGCACTAATTCATAGTATTCACATATTCATAAAACAGTAGGCAAAAAGTACCAGATAGCATAATATTTCCAGTGAGATTCTGAATCGTGCATCCAATGGACGCTTTAATATCCCGTGAGGCCATAGGAAAGGATTTGTGAATGGCAGTAAAGCAACGCAACTGATGCTGGTAGGTCACATGACAATGACATCAGTATGTTCGAATTTCAATTCATGCTACCATATTCATACTATAAAGAACAGTTTTTTTTTAACAGCCGCTAGTTACTTAAATCAAAATAAGTGCCTACTCAGAGAGTATACGATTTCGGACGCAAACTCTGTGAATATTAAACCTCAAAAAGGCTATTTAAATATACAAATTAGAGATGCACCGATCGATCGGCCAGGGATCGAAATTGGCCGATTTTCCTCATGATCAGCCCGGATCGGTGATCGGCCAGTCAGTCTCACTTCTTTCCGATTCCGAGCCGATCCGTTTTGTTACCAGCGGCACAGGCAATAATGTCAGCCGCGCATTTTTGCTCTCTTCTCTCCGACGACCCCTTCTCTCTCTCACACTCACACACACACACACACGTCTCATTCGCTCCGGTTAAATAGTGCTTGTATTGCGCATTATTTTAGTCATAGTATCCAGTTAAACACAGTCAGTTTTGGAACATTAAATAGTTGAGAAAGAGAACGCATGTTGTGTAACAGTATATTGGGTCCGTGGATAAACTCTTAAAGGGACCGCAGTCCAATATTACTGCTGCTGTCTGTAATGTTAATGAAAGACCAAAAGACAAAGAAAATCACTTTGAATACGTTTTATAACTTTAATGGTAAGCATTAATCTGTATTTAATTTGTACAATGATGACATGACTAAAGGTTCTGATTCTGTCCAAACACAATCTGATTTATATTTAGATGCACACTTTTTAAAGACAGCACCTGTAAGCAGCAGTCACACAGTACCGCTTACACATTCCTTTGTGGGGAAATAGGATTTCCCTAACTGTTTTTACAGAGCATCAAATGGACTGCATCAAAACAAATTTTAATGAGAACACAGCCTGAACAGCAATCCTCTGCTTGAAGGTGGTAATTTACCTCGGTCATTAGAGGTCGGAGAAAATAACTGTGTACACTGTTCTTATTTATGGACCTCATTTAGATTGCGAACCGAAAACGCATTTGCCCCTAAGATTAGGGCTGTGACGGTGGCAGCTTTTTACCACCGCGGTTGTAATGGACCAACTACCGCCGGTGGCGCGGTGTTGATATAAATATATGTAGGCCTATAGATGCGGCACGACACGACATGCCAAATCCCCGACAGTAAACTACCTTGTTCTATTTATGAGGTACTGGCACAGAGTTCAAATGTCCTGTGTAGACACTAGACAGACTCAACCTTTAGATTATTTTCCAAAATCGTTCAGCCCTACTCCTCATCTGCACGCGCTCTCTTTGAAATAGGAATCGTTAACACATTTCTTGTTAACATCTTTCATTTATCGCTGTCTCGTTTGTATTTGGCCAGTTTTGAGAAAGCCTCGCCAAACCTGACCAGCCAGGCGTTTGCGATCACGGGAACTTGTATACAAACGTGGATGGGTGACATGAATGGAGATAGCTCCAGATCGGCGATGTAATATTTGGTTTCCCAACAAGGTCCATCGCCCAAAAGAAAATTAATTTGCTGAATGCATAAACTGTATTTTCCTGCGCTCAAACCTGCCAATCTAAAGAAACTAATCTGAGGTAATTTGTGAATTACCATAGACTTATAGTCTAAATAAAATAATTTGCAACTATTACTGTTATTACACTTGTATACAAAACTTCGTATTATGCTTGTTATAGAGTGCGTGATGTCACATGCACTACCGCCGGTGGCAGTAGACAACAGCGGTGACGCGGTTGTCACGTCGACCGTCACAGCCCTACTTAAAATGCCTATTTTTTCTCTGTCATCGACGTCTGATTAAGGCATAAAGCATGATGCTATAGAGTAAATAAATTGCAACATTATTCAAATGTACTACTTAATAGCACAGCACTCTATTTTTAGCTGTTTATAATAGCTAGGGGTTGAATGTCACCTCAGATTAATGACACCAAAGCAGTGGCCTCTTACATAAACAATACTAGAGAGAGGGGCTAAATTACCATCTTTCCATTCCAGTCAGCATGGAAAACATTCCCATTTACTTAATTAAAATAATATAACATTACAGCTTGTACTACACACGCTGTACAAAAGCATGAACACTTTGTTTGACCAAATCATAGTTAACATTACTGGAGGTACAGCCATGGTCCATAATCAAAAAAATCTGGGTTTACAGTGTTAAATTTAAACAAAACATATGCTGAAGACCAACACATAGTAACAACTACAAAAACGAAAAAGGAAAATGGGGGGAAAAAAACTAATTCAAAGTATTTAATAAAAACAATAGTAGCATCTCAATGATACTAAAATAACACTGTATATAATATAACAATAATAATAATATATATTAAAATATAAGCATGACAAGACTAACCATAATCGTCATTTGAATGCAAGCTGCTTCTCACAGTGCCTAAGTAACACTTTAATGCTCTAGAAACTGAATATTTTATTGCATATTAATATCTAGGTCAAAAAATGTTATTAAATCAATAGATATACAACTAGGCCATGCCTGTGCTTATAACAGTCCAAAGTCCTCTGAAGATCACTTGAGTCAAAGGTTAGTTTATTTAATGCTGGGTAAATCATAAAAAAAAACAAAAACAAAACAAAAAGTAAAATCACATTTCCATCCTGCAATAAATAAGAAAAAACTTCTCTTTTAACAGAGACAGTTTGGCGCTCAGCAATTACAATGACACGATTTTGTACTGTATTGCAACAAAACAGACAGCATTTACTCCAAATTTGTCTTCAAGAAAGTTTCTCAGGAATGGTTATTACAATGACATCACATGTTCCTTACAAATACATTGCAATCTCAATAAACCCCCTGAGTATTGATCTACACCTGTCAAAGGTCAATGTACACCTAAAGCATTTTGTAAAGATCACATACAAATACACCCTTACAAATTAAGTTAGAGAAATCTGAATATACAACTGTAGATTCAAGGTCAAATACAGCACTGCTATCATACAGCGAGGTATTATCAGGAGCTATAAAAGCTTGAGCAAAAGAAGCAACAGGGCAGCGAATGATGTACGCCAAGGAGTAACAGACCTGACACGCTATTTAAACGCACACCGGGATCTATCTAGAAATTCTAGGTGCCATATTCAATCTCAACACATTAGGCAGACAGTAGACAAAATAAGTCAGCCGAATAGGTTGGGTGCATTGTGTTTTGCACATCTGCTCCTTCAAATACGATCCAAGCAAATTTGACGTGTCGCACAGCGCTTGTTCCAGTCCTCATGCCGAGTCACACATGACAGGCGGAATTAGGACTGTATACTACAACTGTTGACACGAACGCGTCAAGCTTAAAGGGACAGTTCCCCCAAAATGAAAGAAAATCACTTACTCACCCTAATGTTGTTACACACCTTACTTTCTTACAGAGTGCAGTCAGCCCTGCGTTTTTTTCCCCATGCAATGAAAGTGAATGGTGATTGTGGATGTCACTCTGACTAACATCTCTTAACAAGGGAGTCACGCGGGTTTGGAACAACATAGTGGTTAGTAAACGATGACCAAAGTGACATTTAAAGCTTGTTGAACGCTGTCTAAACGGTTGTTGTAAAATACACATCGAAATGCGATAACCGACGAGCAGGTAACGTTAACGGGTCCAAAAGCAAGTTGACAGCTGAAGCGTCCTCACATTTGGCTTTAGCCTGCTAGCGGTCTCAACTCGAGTCATCCTGTCAAAAAGGAGTGCAAGTTACTGGTTTAGTCTTGATAATGACACCAGATCAAAATCTTGTTAACGTTACCTTTCTCGAAACTGAAGCGGTCTCCAACTTTCCGCCGCAATTCAAAACATTAATTTTCAGGTAAAACCCTAAAAATACCCGGCTAAAGTCACAAGTCATCGACAGTCAAACTGATAGAGACGGTCGCTTAGCTGAACAAGTTAGCTCGTTTGGCCGCATTTCATAAGAGCGAACTGTCAAGAAACGCCAACACGCTCATGTAAAAGAATAAACTGTCGCTTCGAGTCCAAGAAAATCATAGAGACAGTAGTTTCACCAGAGTTAACGCTCTTTTCGCAGGGACCCGACGAATGACAGTCAACGGATCTGTAACAGTCACAGCGCGAGCCTTTTATTGGGCGGCTTTCAAAAAAATTGACGGCGTTTAAAATAACATTAGGGTCACGCTGACTAGGATAACGTGTCAAAAACAAGCAAAATGTTTAAGCTAATTTTTTTATATATTTTAAAGGATGATAAAGCTCCAACGCACATTTGTTATTTTTATATCATTATTTTATACTAAAATCGTGTTATTTTATTAGTTGTATTTCTAAAATATACGCTGAGACGCGTGATCGTAGACGTAGAAACGCGACGCGCGCGGTCGAACACATTTCACAAGCTTCATACGTCAAAAGCAACTTTCCAGCGTGCACTACACATCATCCATGCATCTCAACATGGTGCGATACATTAAAACCCCATTGATTTTCCACACACCCCCTCCCCATGCAGTGACAATAGGCAGGTGTGGGTTAAAAATGCACAGCAGCCTGGTTGCCTTCTTGCTCCTTTCTCTGCCTGCTACCAACTAGCAGGAGTTGCCTAGCCAATTTGGCTAGCTGATAATAACGCAGGCTAACGGACAGCACGGTGAATGTAGACAGTCAGCGGAGAGGACGCAAAAAAACGGTGCATTTGAAACGCGGCAGTAGCACAAGCATGCATGCGAGAAATGGTGAAATTACACTCACAATGCCCTCCGAACGGTGCCTCACCGAGATCCCCCTCACTCTCTCGGTCTCCCTGAGACTCACTCTGCCGTCTATCTAGCTCCTCCAATCTGCAGAGAAATCCCTCCCACAGCCGCGCGTCGCTTGAGACATGTGATGCGCGTCAGGAGGACGGCCGCTGACAAGCAGGAGGATCCTCATTGGCTGAAACAAGATGTCAATCACGCTAGGCGCACCCTCTGCCCGCCGTTCGCTTGCATTAACATCATTTATAAACATATTCCTGAGAGCGGTTAGGTGTAAAATAACTTGTTCAGCGTCGTGGTTTATTTTAACTTAAGAAACGACACGCTTCAGCACGAGCCGGCGCTGTAAGCCCCGCCCACAGTCACGGATGAGACTTCCCCGGCGGCTAATTAAACCTGACGTCATTTTTTCCATGACGTTGCCAGTTCTCTCCTCGATTCTGATGGGTTTGATTCGCAGTGTGTAGACGCTCCTTACTACCGCTGATCTGAACCGGATTAATGCTTTCTGCAGCCTGGATCCTCGCTGTCCCAAGATGATGAATTAAACATTTGTCAGTTAGTTAACATATCACTGTTGGTTATTTGAATCAGGTTGAGGCTCATTCATTCATTCATTGAAAAATAGATAACCAGACAGATTGTGCAAAACATTGTGCAATCCTCTGTTCTTTCTTTCTCATGCTATGAGTGAACTTGCATCACCAGCATTTCTCTCTGCATTTTCATCAAACACATGTCCACTGAAGCACTTAGTTTAGCAACCAGTCTGGCATCTTCCTTTAAAAATTGCAGTACAAGACCGAAGCATTTCTGTTTGAGAAACGTTATACCAAGTCCTCATGTCAGGGACTACATGTACCAGTGGCGAATGAAAATCCTTGGTTAGGTTTAACAAAAACTGAAATAAAATTAAAAAATGACTTTTAAAGAGATGATGCACCAAAATGTTACTGTGGTATCTATCATTTTGCATGCAGATACCACAGCTTCCTTTAATCATGATATAGATGGCATATCCTGTTCCTGAGGTGGATTGCTGCAAGTCTTGCAGTGTAACAGTCTGATCTAATCTATTACAAATGTGATGAAATAGTACTGGTTATAAGATACTTCATTTTTTAAAAGCGCCGCCTCACTCTAATTCGACTACAGTACAGGTGAATGCTCTGTCAATTAAATGTGAAAGGATTCAGGATATAGATAAGAAAACATACACCAACATTAGCAGCTACGCTCTTCAAACATGTTAAGTTACTGGAAATGATATAGAAACCAATTATTCATAAAGGCACAATGTTACCAGAAAACTGTTCTTTCACAACTGGCATCTAAAATTTGCTGAGAAATCCCCTAGTACTGGTTGTGGTTTCTTTCTTCACAGCTTCATTTTTGTCATGGTAACCATTGTTGTCATTTGTTGATCATGGTGCACTTGAAAGATGATGCCAAAAGTGGAGCTATGTTTGTGGGTTTCCCCATGAAGGCCTCAGAAGAAGCCGCATCACAATCTTCATTCTGTTCATTCTTTTGATACCTTTCCACTGACATTTACAGGCATTCAATTTGGGTTTTATTCAAAGTGACTGTATATGTGACTGTGTGTGTGTGTGTGTGTGTGTATATATATATATATATATATACACACACACACACACATCTAAACACATTTAAATTTAATCCATTAAATCCCAACAATAATTATATTATTATATTTTAGCATTAGAAACAGAGCTTACACATACTGGTGTGGATTAACCATTACAGAAACATAAAAAAAAAAACATAGTTTTTTTAGGGCAGCTGTGGTACAAATCTTACATTGGGTGGTGGTCTAGTAAATTTGTTAAGCACAGTACACACACACACACACTATTAAATAATACTAATAACTATTTCAATTAAATGTAGTATAAAACTTGCCTTAGTATGCAGATGGTAGGGTGTTATGATTCAGGTATTCAAGTGACTTCTGTGTCTTCAAGGTTTTCTGATTTTAAGGAATTCTGCTGATTAGGTGGATGATCATTCCACTATGATGAGGTTCATGCTCTCACCATCTTGTTGTTTGACCCTTTATAGACTCTTCACCATCCAGTAGCTATAATTTTCTGGGAACCCAAAGACCAAGACATCTGATTTTAGAATTACACAAGGACCTCTGTTCAACCTGCTGGGGGAAAAATACAGACACAGTTGATGATAAACAGGCAGCAGTATTTGTGCTAGGTGCTATTGACAAGATCTTTTCACCTAATGGGTTTTATCATTAACAAGAAGGACATCACTACACAAGACCGTCTTTGAGCATTGGGTTTTGATATACAGCAAAACTTCAACTTTTTAAGACCATGTCATTTTAACTTGCGTTAAGCAAGGCTCAAAGGTTTGCTAATGTTCAATCAGATAGTGTGGGGTGGGGAGGGGAGGTGTTAGTGAGTGCATTGATTGCTCAGCTTTAGTGCAAGCAGCTTGTAAATGTGGAGCATGTGATGCATATGTTTGCTGTAGGTATCTCTGGAGTATTAGGCCGGACCGCTTTAGTTTGCACCATATTTTCATCTAAAAGTAACATATAGCCCTTGCTAAGCCACAAGAGGCTGACAAACAAGTTTCCTTTCAGACTTCCAAAACCTCTGAAGTGGAGAGGACATGAATCCTATTTTTATTTGTTCCAGTTTCCACTTCTGAGATTTTTATTTGGAGCCTCTCCCACTGGCGGCACAAAGTGATGCCTGGCCCTTGAGCAGATGTCCCAGCAGCGCACGGATGTGCAAGTGCAGCCACCTTTTTTTACATATTATCTTACACACAAATACATATAGTATGTTCGACCATTCACTAAAGTTTAGGATTTCAAGGTATGATTTAAAATTTAAAATGCACATTGGACTGTCCATAAACATAGAACCACAAGAAAATGTACAGCTTAATAGGTATTCATTCTATTATTAATTATATTAATATGAATACAAACATATTCTATATTTTATATATGTCTGCATAAATGAACATACAATTATACAATTAATTAAAAAGTTAAAAAGTTATTAAGTATTATATAATTATGTAAAGATGTAATATAATTTTATTTAAAAAAAATTATTATACAAACATATGCAATTAATTATACACAACTATTGAAAATATGCACAATTATTAAAAATATTTAGAAATATAAATAATATTTATTTATAAAATTTTAAATATATATATATATATATATATACACACACACTCAATTAATATTCAGTGTTTAAATAATATTTATTTATAAAATTTTAAATATATATATATATATATATATATACACACACTCAATTAATAATACACAATATATATTAAGTATATTATATATATATATAATTTAAAAACATAGATAGATAGATAGATAGATAGATCACATGAGTACTAATGTATGACCTTGCTGGACAGTAGGCCACACAAACTGTGATGTCAGAAGAGGGAAGTTGGTGGCGGGCTTGCCTTCTTATCAAGATCTGAGATAAGAATGTTTGCTTAACAAGTGGTTCAGAGTGAACAACAAAGCATTCTTGGGTCTAAAATACTTCTTTGACAGGAAAAATTCCTCAGGGCAGGCAATGAAGCCGTCATGAGACTTAACAGCGTCACTGTTGAAACTCTGAAAAAGATGACAAAAGAGCTGTCATGGAATGTCAGCTGATTCAAATCAATGTGGAAGAAGAGGACAGTGGAAATGGCTCATTAACAGACTTACACAAGAGGGTCCAGTACCCTATCAGTCAGGACACACGCTATTATTACTTCCTCTGTTCACCAATCTCCCTTCTCCAGCAATCTGGCTCTTACTACAGCTTTTTCCACAATGTCAGCACAGAACTTCCTTCATTCTGATGGGACACAAAAAAGATAGAGAAAGCAGAGAGAAAAGGCAGAAGTCAGACCATATTTAGCATTATAATAATATACATACAGTGACCTCAAAAGGTTTGTGGATGCTTAGGCCAAACTTGAAATATATACATTTCGTCAAGTAGATCATAAAATATCAAACATAATGACATATACAAATAAGCAACATTAGAGCTTCTCTCTCAAAACTAACTTCACTTTTTTGAGTCATTTTGCTAGTACTTTTAACCATGTCTCAATGTGATATTTAGTTCACAAAGATTCCCCCAGTGTGAACATGTTCCACTGATGTTTGACAACAGAAAGATACGTTGCAGTTCAAAAGTTTAAGCTCAGTAAGATTTAAAAAAAAAAGTAATAAATACTTTATATGGCAAGGAAACATTAAACTGGTTAAAAGGGAAAGTAAAGACATGAATAATGATACAAAAGTTTTCAAAAGATCAGCATATTAGAATGAATTCTGAAGAATCATGTGACACTGAACACTAGAGTAATGGCTGCTGAAAATTCAGCTTTGCCAGCACAGGAATCAATTTAAAATATATTAAAAAGAAAGCCATTATTTTAGTAATATTTCACAATATTACTGTTTTTACTGTATTTCTGATCAAATATATGCAGCCTCGGTAGAATAAAAGAAGCATATTAAACAGTATATCTACTGCTTTAGTGTTATTACTTTTTAATTCATATTTGCTTGACAAGAATGTTTAAGCTATATAAGCATATCTTCTTTATAATAAATGCCACTCTGTTTGACAATTTATCGAATGCAATGAAATTCTTAAGTGTCCGAACACTTTCTGGGGCCGCTGTATAATAAAATACCAGAAGACATATAACTAAAAGTAATGTTTAGTGGCAAGACACGTTATTACAATTTCAAACGATCTAAATCCTATAAACATGGGGTTCCCACTATCAGACGCTGATTCTGCTGCAGTATGCGAAACAGGCATGGTTTTCTATTGGGGCAGGTTGTTTGGGGTTAGAGAAACTTAATGAGAAACATTCATTATACCAAACATGTCATCAGACAGCTGTAATTACAATAATTGTGTCTTCTCAGAAATACTACATGGGGGTGAATATGGGGTTTGTGTGGTGTTAGACTCCTTAATTAAGTCAACAATAAACTCCCCTCACTGACAGAGCGACAGTGCTGGCTTATTTTCCACGAGAGGGTAAACGTTCGCTCAAAGTGCGTCCCACGAAACACACA